AAATATAAAAGCAAAAGTACGAGGAAATGGTAAACTCTGACCGGACTCACATAGACTCTTCTGTTCGTCCACCTTTTCCTAGAGCTGCTTACTACCATGGATTGAGAGCACACCATCAAGTGCGTATTTGGAGATGTCTAAGTGACAGTGATCTTGACCCACTTAATTGGGGATGAAAAATAAAAAGCTTTATATACTCACCAATAGCAACAGACAAAAACGCAGGTCCAGAGGATATCCTAAAGGTTTTTTGATGTGGGTGTAAAAACTAATGTTTAAGTCAGTGTTCCTCAGAAAGATGGGACTTTACTGCATTTCATCGTGTTCTACCGGCCACGGAATTAACTGTACAAATGCGGAAATAGTAGTAATAACCAGCCAATGACCGTCGCTTCTTAGATATTTTTACATAAATTAAATTTTGATTCACTTAGTTACTTTTTCAAGGTTTCCAAGATAAACTTCTTTGTAAATGTTTTCAAGATTTTCTTGGTATTTATTTAATTTTTATTTGTCATTAAAAAATAATACAATAATTATATAAATAAAATTTACATGACCAGGGCTAAAAGAAGACAAATTTCTTATCACTACACCTCGAAACTTTAACTTGGTAACTTTACCGAATTATCATGTTTAACAGTATTAATTAATAATAGAGGAATATTTGTTTTATACACCCATCTTTACGTCAAATTTTCGAAAAAATTGCTAAAATAGAGTCCCCCTCCAACCCTATATCGTACTTTTAGTTATTTAGCTTTCAGTTCATTATTAAACCAGCTACTAATATTTAGGAGTAATAAATATATAAATTATATTATATTTTCTTGCTTAATAGAATGATATTTTTTGGCCAAAAACGTCAATTTTTGTGCTTTTATACTAATCTTAGTGATCTTACAACTTTTTTTCCCTAAAATAAAAAAAATACCAATTACTTATTTTAACGAGGAAAAAATAAGCTTTCCAACGATATATAACATGTCTTTATAATAATTTTTTCTAGGTTGAGTCTAAATTCTACAGGATTATAAGTCAAATAAAATCAAATTCTAATGAATTTTTAAAAAATGCAAATATTTTATCCGAAGAAATCTCTAAATCATCTAAAATTTCAGAACCAATTGACAATATTATTGATAGTATAATTTTCAACATATCAAATAGAAAAGAAGCAAATAAGTTGGAACAAGAAATTTCAACAGACAAATTATAGTTATACTATTTGATATTGCTAGAACATTATTACGTGAACATTATCACGACAAGGAATAGCATTTCAAGGTGATGGTGACAAAAGAGGAGGAAATTTTATGCAATTCGTTCAGTTATTCTTTATGCATAATCCCTTGGATGGATGAGTCTTCATCACGACTACGTAAAAAGTTACTTACCCAGGTCCAAGATCAAAAACACTTGCTATTTGAAAACAAATACTTTCTTTTGATTTTATTGTTTCGATATCTTTCATGAAAAACATTATGTACAAACTGAAGTTTCTTACTGAAACTTTTGAAGCAAAAAGTTTATCTATAATTGATGCAGTAACTGCAATTGATAGCACAATGAAAATTTTGACATCAATTAACTCTGATGATCATGCAATGGATAATTTCATTAATAGTGCAAAAGAGCTTGCAAACTTACTCGGAATAGACTCTGAAGCCGATTTTCGATACCATCATTGTAAAAGATTAGCTCCTAAACGATCCAATTGTAATTCTACAAATCAAACAGAATTTTCAATGAATTTATTTTACAGAAAATGAATTTAAAATAGTTCTTGATACCATTTTAAAACTAACAAATGAAAATTTAAAATCGTGTATTTCTTCTATTGAACCCTTATATTTATTATTTTCTCAACCATTTAATAAACTTAATATAACATTGGGTAATGTAAAAAAATCCATTTTAATATTTCCACCAGCCAGTCAAGGTGCAAATCTTCAAGATTATAACTTAGTTCAAACAGAACTAGAAATATTATTTAGTATGTTAAAAGAAGACAAAACAACATTTAATTCCTTAATGAAAAAATCAGAAGAAGTAAAGCATATTTTACCATGTGCTAATTTGCCGTTTAGCCTTGACTTCTCCAGTTACTGTTGCAACAAATGAAAGAACGTTCAGCAAACTCAAATTGATTAAAACACATCTTAGATCAACAATAGCTGATGAGAGATTGGATTCTTTAGTTTTATTGGGTGTAGAAAAAGACCAGTTGGATATAAATAAAATTGCACACCAATGGTCGATTTTAAAAAACCTGCGAATAAAAATTTAGTTAACGATTTTTTTGTTAACATAAAGAAATGTTTAAATATTATCTAATTTTAATATTCTTTTTGTAAGTAACATTAAAACAAAATATTAACAGTATATGAATAACAGTATTGAATGCAGTAATAAAATTGTGATATCGTACTCTATGTCCATTTCAAATATGATAGTTATTACCCCAGTGTCGTATCTAGAGGGTCAAAGCCCTCCCCAAAAAATACCATACCTGTCGCTTAGGAAAAAAAATAGCTTGGACCCCCTCCCCCAACAAAAGGGGGGCTAGGTTAGCCACGACACTGTATGGTAATGTTTTTGAGCGTTAAGAATTTTTGAGTTGGCACTTACAGGAGCTCCCCTCCCCCTCTTTTTGTAATTTGGTTCGGGACGGCCCTGGATCCTTTAGTTCTAAAAATTTGAGAAATACTATCTGGAACAGAATTTACCAGTTTAATGCAAAGATCAATTGAAGTCTTGTCCCAAATGTCTTGAATTTCATCCTTTAAATCATTTGTGTTGCTTATGTTGTTATTTTCGAGTAATTCAATAATTTTTCGAGTATTTTCAATAATTTGACCAAAGAGCCGAATATTCTTCGTTGCAAACCATTCCAGAGTTTTTTTTGCTTTGTAACACGATGCATAAAATAACAATCTTCAGCTTCAGAGTCAAAAAGAGTGTCCATATAGTCAGGTAATTTCTAAGTAAAGAGAAGCATTCAAACGACCTTCGTAAAACTTCAATAAACCTATTCCATTTGCTGAAAAACATCCCCATACAGAAATAATTCCACCACCGCCTTGTGCTATTATTGCGAAATTAAATGATAAATTCTTTTCATTAGGAAGACGACGTACAAAGTTACGATTTTTTCTATTTATGACTTCAAAATGTGATTTGTCACTAAATATTACATGATGATATTGATCTCGTGTCCAATCAACATAGTTTTTACACCAAGTGAGTCTCTTCTTTTTCTGAGCTTTATTTCGATAACAACGTCGTTTCTGTGTGTAGCTTTTCAACCCTTTTTCGAACAAACGACGACGAGCTGTTCTTGCACTAATGGTTTTTTCTTTTGCAGCATTTAACTCCATAACAATTTTTCTGCTTGAATCAGTACGATTTTTTTTAGTAAGTGTCACTATAGAGTGGATTTCTGTAGAATTAGTGCATCCACGATGTCTTTGACCTGCTCGATTTTTCAATGGTAAATTCAATTTAATTTTATCAGAAATATTGTAGGCAAATTTTCTGGAAGTTTTAGTACGTTTAGCAATATCAGCAATATTAAATTTGTGTTTAAATAAGTTTTTTGCAAGTTGTCGCCGCTCAGAGCTCACTGCTTTGCAACCGATTGTATTAATTATGTGTTAATTTTAAGATTACTGAAAAAAATTTGAAAAAATATAAGATTTGCTATTTTAAATAATCAAATATGACGCTAGTAGATAAATAAAATATCATACACAACAATGCGTCAATGCATTTAATCACACACACGAATGAACGTGAGTGTGCTATAAATTTGACCAACATTTTTTGTATATGTTTGTACAATTGTTCATTTCTACGATGAATAATGAACAAAAGTTTTAATTTTATGGGCACATTTTAAATGACTAATGTAAACACATTTCAAAAATACAGTACTTCTAAACGGTATTATTAATGTGGAAAAACCAGCGTTGTCACATTTTTTCTTATTTTGAGAAAATTAATTTTTAAAGTTCAAAACGTTCTTAAAAATTTATTGTTATGTGGAAAGCTTTAAAAAAATTTTAAACAAAATTTTTTTAGTAAATTTTTTTTAAGATCCATCACATATCCTGCTTCTTTTATTCACCTTATTGTCTTACTTTTGAGTAGTTTTCCATAGGGATGTTTTTTAACTGCACCGGTCTCTCCTTTCTTCCGATTGGTTTAATGTCTATGGTATCAAACTGAATTATTTCTTGAATACTATATTTATACTGAGTGCCATGGGACTTAGATTACTCATACTGTATCCACTACATTTGCCAATTTATTGGATTTTTGTTCACCTTTTTTTTTCACTTCGATATGTTTTTTTCTAAGGTATTGGTACCAAAAGAATCAACGTTATTTCACAAACGATAAGCTTGTCAATTTACAAACACAGGTCTAACTTCAAAAAACCAACAAAATGTGTGTTCTGATTTACAGTTCTATAAAAAAGATTAGGTCAATTTTAAAACCATTTACTGTCACATATTGTCAATAATAATAATAACCCATATTATTCACAGCAAAACACTTGTCACTAACTTAGCAACACAACTTAATATAAAAACAAGTTGACAGTTGACTTACACCACTCCCATTCTAAACACTATGGAAATTTTGTTTGGGGCGACAATGATGTGCTGCTCCAAGTGATCACTGGATAAACTAATGACCAGGCTTAAATGTAACAGAGAGATGCACTGTAATCATAAATATCGACTTTACTTTTTTTTTTTTTTTGACTCACACCATGCTGATTCTCACCAGTTCATATCTACTGTTGTATTAAATAAATCTATAACGCTTATGTACTTATATGAGTTAATAATTTTTATATTTTTAATACTTTTCAATAATTTTAATAAAGTGAAGGTGAAATAAAGAATTGAAGTGCAATAAAATTTTAACTTTATATATATATATTTTTTTTTAATTTTTATATATTTAATTTTTTTATATATTTATTTTAGGAAGCGGCTAAAAAGAATAAATGCCTTGAAGGCATACACAGTAAAAAAAACTCCATCAATGAGAGCATGCCCAAATTAAATGGTTTAAAATAGTGAGTTTGTGGACCAATAAAATCCGGCTTTACTTTCTCTGAAGTTTTTTTATTTGTCGCAATAAAGTATACTGGAAACGAATTTGTAATTGTTTATTATGAATAAATGTTCATTTTCAATGAATTCAACCTAAACATGCTTAAATTTGTCAAATATATTGGGTAGTTTTGGTTTAGCAAAATATCAATGTTCAAATACATTTGTACATACACACAGTGTATTTGTACATACACACATAAATACAGTGCACACACTTGCTAAAGTTAAAACTAAATAAAGAACTTAAAATACTTTTTCCCCATGGGCTGGAGCTCCAACCTAGAGGGCAATTTTTTATCATTCCGTTTTTGAAAGTACCCTCGCGAGTTTATCTGGGCATCCATATTTTGCATTAATGTGAACATGTTTGGTATTCATGCTACTCAGTTTGTGAGTTTTTAAAATATTTATTCAATTAAGTTTTATAATAAAAAATCTGACAAAATAAAAATTAATATTTTTTAATATCGTGAACAAATCTTATTTTTATTACTTAGTGATAAAAAATCTTAGTGCATTTTATTATTTTAGGGAAAAATGTAATAAAACATTTTTTTTACACTACGAAATGCTTACTATTAACCAACAATAAAATGCACAATTTTTTTTTTGTTAGGTTGTAATGTTTTTGTTTTTCGGGAGTTGCGTTACAGAGTTTTTTTTCTTATTTTGGTGCATTTTTTGAAGAGGTATAAGGAGAGGTTTTGGGCAGTGGCTCACCTCGTGTCTATCAGGGATCGCTAGAAACTTAAGAAACATTCCAAAAATGTTGGCAATCGTGCCAGCAAAAAAAATACATAGCGGTTTTTACATTAAAAATTTTAGATTTTGGCCAAAAAACTGTAAAATTGAATTAATTCATAAAAACTATAATTAATTTTTTTTGAAATTCAATTTTTTTTTTTTTAAGTTCTAGGAGAATAGAACTGAGAGAGCTTGATCAAAAAAAAAAAATTTTACATTTTTGGAAGAAATACACAGCACGTTGTTTGAGCAATCGTGGCGCAATAGTAAGAGTTCTTGCTCAGAACCTAGGTTGGAGGTTTGACTCCCAATAAGCGATATTGGTAAGGAAGAAGGCATGAACTTCCTTGTAAAATGCTCTTCCGCGGTGCTCTATGACCGTAAGGACTTCTAGGCACACCTTAGTAACTAAAAAAAAAAGTAATTTTCGGACAGAGTTTACCTCTATCAGTGCCCGCAAAAAATTTCTGAAAATTCGAAAATAGCTTTAAAGTGAGGATATTGGTGCCAACAAAATAGTTTGAATGAAGTCTAATGTAAACCTAATAAAATTCATCACCAGCTTCGAATTGAATCAATAAGGTTACTTTTAAATTTCAAGCAGTTTCCCTATGTAATTTTATTTTATCTCCAAATTTAAAATATTTTTAATACATAATACTGTACATGATTCGTCTTTTTAACCAATTATAACTCAAGCTTTATAATTCATTACGATTCTAAAAAAACGACATTAAAGTCTATCGTTGACGTCATTTTTTTCTTATTTTTCTTATGATTTAAGAAGTCTTTGTTCCATTTACACTATTTAATTAACATTAACATTATTATTGCTTTGATCATTGATTTTTCTAAAATAGTTTTTAGGTTGAGCTGTAAAAAATTTAAACTTGTTTTAATCGATACCACACGGTCGTTTTCTAGCGCTGTTTAGTTACGCTTGCGTAAGAAAATCTAAAAATCTTTTGAACTCTACGGTTCTTAACTACAGAGAATATTTTATATGGTAAACGTTCATTTGATAATTAATTTCAGAAAAATCAATGTTGGTGCCTTATTTTAATACAGAAATTTCACAAAAATTTAAATAATTTTTTATTTATATTTTTGTGAAAAAGAGTAAAAAGTATCTTAGAGTGCTAAGACTATATTTTTAATTAACACCTTTTTAGCCGGTGGGAAATGGCTAGCTTAAAAGATTTCTTTTTATAGTAATTAAAACTAAAAATTGTATATTTTTTTAACTGAGTTTTTTTAATATCTTTTAAAATAATGGTTTGGCTCTGATTTGGATCTAAGTATTTGTTTACCAGTACTGATAAAAAAATATGACTAGAACTGAAAGTGCAATGCATTATTTTCCAGTTTATTTATTTAGCTATATGTTTTTATTTATTATTATTTGTTTTATTAAAATTACCTAATATTTTTTATTTCATTTGAAACAAACAAAAAAAAAACTATCGCTCACACTGCATTTTTAATGATAAATATTTTATACTCATGTATAGCTCTAGTTTATCTATTGAGGATTCTCATAAGTATACGAATATACTCATGATAATGTAAAAGTATTCTCTTTATATATATATATATATATATATATATATATATATATATATATATATATATATATATATATATATATATATATATATATATATATATATATATATATATATATATATATATATATATATATATATATATATATATATATATATGTATATATATATATATATATATGTATATATATATATATACAGTGAGAACAGAATTTAATCGTACAAAGTAATTTCTCAATAAAATCACCTTTGAATAAAATATTGTATCATGTACTAATTATAAAGACTTTTTTTTTTCTCTAATATTTTATTTGTTAAAAGACCTTCAAATAAAAAGTAAAATTTTTATTTAAGTATTTAAATTACCTGATTAGGAATTTTAAAATGAAGAAGGGGATAAAAACACATGCACATAAAATAATTGTACAAAAAAATCGTTATAGGTTAATGCTAAGAAAAAATACCAGTTTATTAAAATAACGGAGAAACAGTTTCAAGTTTTTACATTTTAATAATATACTTTAATATTTAGTTGGTCCTTCTTTTGCTTTAAATACATCTAACAAACGTTTTGGCATTGATTCTACTTAATTTGATTACTGTAGATGTTAGACCATGATTTAACAACAGCTTTCTTTAAATCTTCTTTTTTTATAAATGATCTAGTACCTAATTTTTTATCAATAAAGTCCATAAATGCTCTATTGGATTCAAATAAGGGCTCTGCGAAGACCATTCTAAAACGTTTATGCCATTTTCATCGAAAAAGCTATTAGTTTTTTTAGCAGTGTGTTTTGGATCATTGTCTTGTTAAAACAAAAAAGTATTTCCCAATCTAAGCTTTTTAGCAGAAGATTTTAAATTTCGTATCAATAGATTTTAAATTTCGTATCAATATATTTTTATACAAATCAGCATTCATAGTTTCATCAATAAACTCAAGTTTACCAACGCCATTCCATGCCATACAACCCCATAACATTACACTTCCACCGCCATGTTTAACTGTTCCTCGCGTGCAACTTAAATGAAAAGCTTCACCCCTCTTTCACCAAACTCTTTATGCATAACACTTTTTTTCTAAGTTCATTCTTCTCTTCACATGATTTTTTGTTAAAAATGGTTTTTTACGAGCTATACATCCACTGAACCCTGCTTTATGAATGCGATTTCTAATTGATGTAAGTGAGATTGTGTTTTCTGTTAAGTGTTTCAAATGATTTGTTATATTTTTTGATGTTTTGAACCGATTTTTTTTTATCATTCTTAAAATTTCCCTATCGTCTCTTGAACTTGTCTTCCGTTTTCGCCCTCGTCCAATATGAATTTCAAATGTTTCATATTGTATGTATTTCTTTACAATGGCTCCTACTATTGTAAATGGAATATTTGTAAGTTCTTCAACTTTTCTATAAGTATTTCCTTGTTTAACCAAGTCTATAACAAGTTTTCGTTGAGTAATATTTACCTTTGGGTGCCATACCGTACAATAAACAGAGTTTTTAAAGTCTTTTTCTTTAAAAATTTTATTAATTGCTAAAAATAATGTTCTAAAAATACAAAATACTAAAATTGATGTTTTATAATATAATAAAAATGCAAAATACTAAAATTGATGTTTTATAAACATTCATTTTCATAACAAATTGCCAATAAAACAGTTTTGTACAATTAATTTATGTGCATGCAAATTAATACCTGTTTGAGAAAAAAAGCAATGTATAGTAAACACATTTTTTTTATATATTTACTAAAAAAATATAAATAAGTAATGTTTCATGTTTCAAAATATAAAAAAGTAAGGTTTTAATGTTTTCAAAATATAAATAAGTAATGTTTTAATGTTTCAAAATATAAAAAAGAAATGTTTCAATTATTATCAATATTATTGAAGTTAAAAACAAGTTTTAGCAAAATAAAATGGAAAAATTACTTTGTACGATTAAATTCTGTTCTCACTATATATATAAATAAATAAATATATATATATATACATGGCCGGCGCGAGTAGGTGTCACGTGGGGGGGGGGGTGCCATTACAACTTTTGCCGACTTAAAGAAAAAAAAAAAAAAAGGTCCTCGTTTTCCAAAATTTCCCAACTGTCATTACGACATTTGCCGACTGTCTAACCTATATCGAAAGGGTCGACATTTGCGACTAACTAGTCTAAAAAGGTCCGATTTGCCGACTAAGGGTCCAGTTTGCCGACTAAAAATCATTGATGGGGGGATGTCACACCCCCCCCCACACACCCTTATTGCGCCGGCCTTGTATATATATATATATGTATATACATATATATATATATATGCATATATATATATATATATATATATTTCTATATATATATTCTGTATATATTTCTATATATATATATATGTATATATATATATATATATATATATATATATATATATATATATATATATATATATATATATATATATATATATATATATATATATATATATATATATATATATATATATATATATATATATATATATACAGGGCTGTACTGAGCCAACTTTACGCATCCGGGAAGATAGGAAAATTGCGCCCCTCCCCCTTCTTCCTCCTCCTCCAAGACAAAGCAAAAGAAATTAAAATTAAAAAACAATTTATTGATCACAAAATTTATGATATCAAGTGTAAATTATAATTTGTCATGAATAAACAAACTTCAGTTCAAGTTCACTTTTCTAGCTTTTTTGGATGCAAATTCACTAATGACGTCATTAAAATTAAGGTTGTCGACCACTTTATGTTCAATTAAAACTATAGC